GTAGACGTTTATCCCTTGTTTCCTGTTTAGGATTGTGTTTCCGGTTCCTTCTAAAGTTTACTTCAACTCTATACTTCTAACGTCTCCACCTAAACTCTGAAATGTTATTTATTTATTTTCTCCCTTCAGTAGGAATAGATAGTTTTTTTGTTTTTTTTTTAATAGGAGTAGAGGTTTATCCCTTGTTTCCTGTTTAGGATTGGGTTTCAGGTTCCTTCTAAAGTCTACTTCAACTCTATCCTTCTAACGTCTCCATCTGGACTCTCAAATGTTAATGACTATTTATTTTTAATATTATATTCACCAAACATTCTTTCCTCACTGTGTCCTCACCGTTTCAATCTCTTCACTCTTTTGAACAGGAGTAGAGGTTTATCCCTTGTTTCCTGATTAGGACTGGGTCTCCGGTTCTTCCTAAAGTCTACTTCCACACTATACTTCTAAAATCTCCGATTGAAATGTTATACATTAATTAAATCTTGACCTCTTCATGTCTAGAGTTTGTCGTTATTTTTCCTTCATAGAGCCAAGAAAAAATTCTTATACTCATACGACACCACACAGTCAACCTCTACCTTGGGTGGCCCTTGGGCCTTGTATTCGGTGAACATTAGTAATAAATAAAAGAAGACATTTTGTCATTATGAATGTTATTTGAGTTCAGTCAGTTATGTAACATGCGTGATACACGGTTAGGCGATCATGTATCTTTCGATACATGACTGACGAGGCAGATTTTTTTCTCGCAGTAGGTTACCATTTCTTTCTGCGGTAAACCAGTTGCCATCCAAAGCAATATAACTCGGTCTGTCCTGCTATTTACCCATAGCTGGGGGCGGAGAAGAAGAGGAATCTCACTGACGATTTAAAAAGAAAATGATTGTTTTAGGTCTCAAGTCTGATTCCACAATCCCACCGTTAAATTTATTCTGCTTTATATGGTGGGTTTCATTCAAGTCGAACACACTGATCCTTATAAGCAACCATTCCTTTTAAACAGAATTGCATAAGTACAAAATATATGTTTAATTTTTTTTTTTGAAGATATATATATATATATATATATATATATATATATATATATATATATATATATATATATATATATATATATAAATGTATATATATATAGATACATTCTAGTGAGCCAGACAAACCTACCTAGGTTTCACCTAAACGGATCGTCAGGGAAAGTTTTCTTTGGCTTCAGACCTGCATCTGTGCGATTTTTTTTGTCGACAGAAGTTCATGTTTGTAGCTCTTTTTTTTTTAAAACCTTTTTTCCCTCGAGATTGATTTGATTAGCAAATCAAAAATTCGAGGGTTTTTCGAAACGAGTCTAGTTATCTATATATATATATATATATATATATATATATATATATATATATATATTGATGTATGTTTCATTAAATAATATAGACAAGTTTTGTTTTTATGTAAATTCGATATCGTCTGATAAAGTTTAATAACATTATCATTAAAAGATGAAAATCACATATACTGATACATATTTTTAATCCTAAGCTTTCGAAAGCTTATATAGGATTAAAAAAATATGTATCAATATGTATCAATATGGTGATTTTCTTTCTTCTTTTAATGATAATGCTATTAAGCTTATCAGTCGATGTGAAAAGAATTTACATAAAATAAGTAAACAAAACTTGTCTATATTATTTAATGAAAGATGCATCAATGAAAAAAATGCTCCCTATATACACAATACATACATATATATATATATATATATATATATATATATATATATATATATATATATCAGCATGTATTTATGCATGTGTGTATGTATGATTGAATAATTCAGTAATCATAATAAGTGTTTTCCCTATTCAAACATTCAGTCGGAATTTAATACACATTTTTATCTCAATAATATACAGGATGCGATGGATAAATTGTCGTCTAAATGACACGCAAAGTAAAATAACACTGGCATCTCATTTTAACAGATATATTTAACAAAATTACACAAAAATACCTTCAAATACTAAATATCTAAAACAAGGTGGGATGGATAATTTGTCTTTTAAATTAAGCATGAAAATAACACTAACATCTCATTTTAACATATATATTTACCAAAATTACAGGAAAATATCTTGAAATGCTAAACAGTACATTTATTCAACAAAATTGCCATTGGCTTCAACCACCGCCTCCAGACGACATCGGAATCTCCTGCAACTCTTCTGGGCGGTCTCTTTTTTTAAGTTTTTGAATGCTGCCATAATCCTTGCCTTCAGTTTAGCTTTACTGTTACAAATAATTTTGTTTGTCTCTCACTCAACAGCACCCCGCACATATAATTTATTCTTAAATGCCTATAATTGATAACAGAAGCCATTTTATTCTTAAATGCCTATAATTGATAACAGAAGCCATTGGTTTATACTAACGGCAACCCATACTTAATACTCCTCGTTTTGACTCTCACGTGGTCATGTGTGACGTAACGAGCTGCGATGCGATTTTCGCTTCCGCGTCTCGTATACACGAGTTAGTCGTTGCTTTGAAATTTTTCATGCAACAAAAACAGACTATCATTATTGTTTTGTCCGTGTATTGGTTGATATATTGAAAAGTAATTGTCATCTTTGACAATGGCTTATGTAAGCCGAAAGCTTAGATTGGATTTAAACATGTATCAATATGGTGATTTCCTTTCGTCTTTCAATGATAATGTTATTAAGCTTATCAGACAACATGAAAGGAACTTACTTAAAATGAATAGACAAAATTTGTCTATATTATTTAATGAAACATGCATTAAAGAAAAATTGCTGCCTAAATATACACAATATATATATGTGTTTGCGATTGTGCGTGTGTGTGTGTGTGTTTTTGGGCGGTGTAAGGGTCTCACCCACGCTCGAATCTATGATACGTGACCCCACTCTAGTACATCTCAATTTTAATAAGGTCGTATTCATGTAAAATACAAATATTTATCGTAACCTAATTATGTACAATAATGAATCATATGCACCATTGGTGAACAATTTCAAGAGAAAAAGTGAAAATAAATACGATGTATTTAAATAACAAATCATTCCATCTTAAATAAATCAACAGGAGATTTTTCTTGTTAAAAAGTTGAATAATTTTGACCCGTTCTATATTATGGATAAAAAAAATACTGTATTTTATATAGTGTTTATTTGGGGTTTATACATGTATATGTGTGTGTGTGTGTGTGTGTGTTTGTGTGCGTATGTGTGTGTGTATATATATATATATATATATATATATGAACCTTATTTTTTTGTGGATACTCATATTTGAGTAGACGTTCCAATTATTTGTTAAATAGTATATTTATTTATTTTCGTCTACCGGCCTGAATATTCGAAAGATTTCATTGAAGAAAAATAGGCGTTTTCTGGTAGGATTCGATCTGCATCGCTCTAGCCAGAGTGAAACCTTCAGCCTTAAATAAATAAATATAACAAATAAATGAAGCGTCTATTCAAATATGAGTATCCAATAAAAATAACGTTTAAAGTGATAAAAACCTGTCGAATTCCTAAATAAAAATTAATTACCTTAGAAAATTACATATATCTGTGTGTGTGTGTGTGTGTGTGTGCACAGGGCCCCCAGTGCAAGGTTCTCGTGTCCCGCTGAATATGCCCCCTACTCACTCTATTACATCCAACTTTTCATAAGATAGTATTCATGGAAAATACAAATATTACTGTAACCTAATTATGTACAATAATGGATCATATGCAAAATAGGTGAACAATTCAACTTGAAAAATAGAAAATAAATCCAATGTATCTAAATAAAAATTAGAGACATGTCATAATAGATCATTCCTCCATCTTAAATAAATCAACATATGTTTTGCGACAATTTTTAGCATTGGCTTGAGATTTTTCTTGTTAAAAAGTTCAATAATTTTAACACGTTCAACATTATAGATAAACAAATAGTGAATTATATATATATATATTGTTTTTTTTTTTTTCGAGACTTAATCTGAGCAAAACTAATTCGCAGATTTGGGCGAAAGCAAAAAAAAAAAGCCCTAGAATTAAATTGTTTGTGTGTGTATGTGTGTGTGTGTGTGTGCGTGTGTGCGTGTGTGCGTGTGTGCATGTGTGTGTTTCCTGCTCATAAGTCAGTTCCAATGAAAAACATATCCCTACATTTCGGGCCGGTGCATGGGTCTCGTGGGACCCCTTCTTAAATCTATAATATGTCCCCCACACCTCGAATCTAAGATACGACCTCCTCCTCCACCACATTTCTATTTTCATAAGGTATTATTTATATAAAATACAAATTTTTATCGTAACCTAATTATGTACAATAATGGATTATATGAAATATAGATGAACAATTTAACGAGAAAAATTGAAAATAAATACGATGTATTTAAATAAAAATTAGAGACATGTCATAACAGATCATTCCTCCATCTTAAATTAATCAACAATGTTTTGCGGCAACTTTAACATCAATTTTTCTTGTTAAAAAGTGGAATAATTTTGACCCGTTCTAGATTATGGATAAAAAAAAAAATACTGTATTTTATATAGCGTCTTTTTTTTTAGACTTAACATGAACAAAACAAATTCACGGATTTAGTCGAAAAAAGAAAGACACTAGTGTAACGTCAAAATCTGAAAAAAAAATTTTATCCTTCAATAGTCGTGCTTTTTTTTTTTTAATTTTAACGTATATAAATGTAGGTAGAAAATAGCAAAAGCTAATACGATAACAAGGGTCACAAAACACTGCACGGGGACCCATCCGTTCGGGGATTTCGGGGCAGTACGTATCGGCCTTGCCCATATTGCTACATTATCATCATTGATATTAATTATTATTTAATATGAATTAATATTTTTTTTATATTTCTCTTCCGACTGCTGACTTACGGCATGTTCGTCTGCTTTCTTAACCTTCATACTTTTCTTTCTTTTTTTTATCTCCATTACTAGAGAGCTCAAGAACGAATAAGAATTCAAATGAACGAAGCCAGGGATCTTAAAAGAAAAGATAGCCAAACAGACGACTCTTTCCAGACGGCCATCTATGACGATATTGAGCTCCAGGCAATCAATGGCGGAGCAAAACATTTGAACGGGAAAGCAAACGGCCATTGCAAGGACTCGAATGCTTCATCATCTAACAACGAAATAATGTCTGCCGTTAACTGTAACTATCGACCTACGGATGATACAGCAAACATATTACCGGCTGACAGTGGTCCAGTCGAAGACTTATACGCTGTGCCAAATAGATTAGTCATAAGTGAACCAGCCGAGCCTTTGTTAAGTGACAAATCGCAAACCACTGAAAAAGGGGAGAAAACCACTACACCTGGTACGTAATATGACTGCGTAGATAGGTGGCTGGCGGTAGTCTTGTAGATAAGCGTACCGGTTTTGGATACTTATATCGGTGATGGTATTTTTATCATTGTTATTATTTTTTTAGTAACTGGTGATGGTGTTAACAATTACAAAAAACTGTCTTGACTACTAGTGTAATTATAAATAACAACTTACAGACGGAATTTGTGGTAAGAAGAAATTGATTAGATAGCTCTAGACATAGTTATTGCTTTTTATGTACTCATTTTCAAAATCGCCATTTTTGCTCATGACTTTTGATGTTACTAATGCATTTTGTAAACAATGATTGTGATTGAATGTAAAAACATTTTAACTATTGTGCTCGATGTTTTTCATAACCCTTATCTAATTTTGTTTTTATTTCATGTAAAAAAAAAAGAAGCTTTTTTAACTTACTTTTATCATTAATTTGCATTTTGTCAATTCAATTCATATAAAAACTGTCTCCTTTCCAGAAACTATCAAATTAACAATCGCCTGTATTTAACTCTAATTATTATTTTTTTATCTGTCTGTTAAATATACACACCTCCAGGAAATAATTTTTTTTAAAAAAGACCCTAAAATATAATAGTCTTTTACGGATCATTATCTGGCACATTTGCCGGGGAATTTTGAGAAATAATACTAGCACAAAAGCCTGGTGGCCATCACACCAGGCAGTACTTCCCTTTTGGGAGGAGGCTTGGGTCATTACCCGGTGCCTGTAACATCCCCAAAAAGGGGATATGCTGAGGGGTCTTGAGTAATTTTTCCACGGTATAAGCCCAATTGTGTATCAGATCCGGTAGAGACGTGGGCGCAATGAAAATACACATTATATATATATTATATATATATATATATATATATATATATATATATATATATATATATACATATATAAATCTTATTTTTACGATCATGTTCACCCTGTACAAGGTCCGAGAGCAACTCGAGGTAGAGGGACACAGAGTAAGAGGCAGAGTTTATGTGGATACGCGGTGCAGATAACCGTTAACCCTAGACTTAAAAAAATTAAGATTGTAGCGATCAGAGAAGCATCCCCTTGGGCGGTTGTCTTCAATCTGTCCCGTGCGTGTTATGTTCTCCCAGCTTTCTTTCGTCATTATATTTCCGATCTTCGGTGATCGTACGAGAATATGTTTTCCATCATCATCTTGAGAGTCGGTTCATCAAGGTAGTGGTTCGTGGGAGGAAGCTGTTCAAGTGGAACTTCCATCTCACCAATGGATTACGAAGGGAATGAGAGCGGTTCACTATAATGGGCGTGGCATGGCGAGACTTATTTCTGAAGATTAGATCTGGTGGAACTAAAGAGCGTAATTCGTTTGAACATTTTCCATGGAAATAGCGATAGAGCAGTAAGAGTCTACGGGAGTATATAAAATGGCGTTTAAAAACTGAAAATAAAATATTTCAAACTGAAATAAATAATTGTTCAATATATCGCTTCATTTCGTCAGATAAATGTAGCAAATTTATTAGGACCTTTTATAAGCTCTCGCTGATTTTTCATGAAAAGTAATGTTTTTTTTTTACAAAAATTAGTAAGAAACATGTCACTGAAAATATTGTCCATCGTTAGCCATTACTTTTTCCCATCTTTCTGGCGGCATTTGAGTTTCACGTGAAAAAAATGACACGTCTTTTGAGGCTAACCACGAGTCGACCCATTTTCTGGCATCTTCATATAAATGAAAGTGCTGCCTTTGATCGGAACAAGTGATGGGGCAAGGTCTGATGAATATGGCTGGTGGGGTAGGACTTCCCATTTAAGAGTTTCCAAGAGGGTTTTTCACCCGTATTGCAACATGTGGCCTAGCGTTTTCATGTTGCAAAATCACTTTGTCGTGTCTTTGCTCGTATAGCGGCCATTTTTTCGTCAATACTCGGCTCAAACGCATCATCTGTAGTCGATAGCGATCTCCCGTGATGTTTTCGATCGGTTTGTGCAGCTCATAATAAACTACACCCAGCTGATCCCACCAAATGCAGACCAGAAGCTTCGAACTATGGATACTTGACTTTGAGCCGATGTTGATGCATGGTCGAGCTTACCCAACGATGTTCTACGCTTCGGGTTATCGTAGTGTATCCACTTTTCATCGATCACGGTTACGGTGCGATACAAAAAACTTTCTTTTTCTGCCGTTGAAGCATCTGTTCACACGTGACAATGCGCTGTTCGAGGACTCTCAGCTTCAACTTGTAAAGCACCCAATATCCTTTCTTTTGAATAATTCCTAATGCTTTCAAATGTTTTGAAACTGTTGTGTGATCAACTCTTAATGATTATGCAAGTTCACCTTGTGCCTGACATGAGTTTTCATGGAGTAATGCCTCCAATTCTTCGACTTCAAATTTTTCGGTGCGCCGGATTGTTCTTTATCTTCAACATCAAAATCATTATATTTGACTCGTCTTAACCAATCTCTGCATGTTGTTTACGACAGAGCATAGTCGCCGTAAGCTTCAAGAAAAATTATGTGTGATTTAGCTGCAGATTTCTTTTGAATAAAGTAGTGAAGTAAAATTTCCCTGCAAATGCACTTTCTTTGGCACGAAATCCGACAGGTTTAACGCTGTGAAAAACAAGATTGTTTACACTTCAGCGAGATGACATACACTGAATTTCAAGCTTGCATATAGAACTTTCTTATAGATGCGTTACCATCTGAAACTACACGCACGCAGTTCTGGGAACGCCATCTGTTGGAAAACAGCGAGAACTTATTCAAGGTCTTAATACTTCAGTTAAGGTACACTTTCTTTATTATTTGTGAATTGCCTTTATTTTTGGCGGGAAGCAAATGGGGTGATTTTCTCCTTCCACTGTTTTAAAGTGGTCCAACTCTGTAAAGTCTATCTTGCAAATTACTCAAATTATAATCCCTATTCAAAATAGAAATTCATTCTTTTCTGATCACCGAGATGTTAGGCCTTGACCGATAGAATTACAAACTCTTCTTTGAATATTTGTCTATATTTCTAAGATGAGATATTCTAAATATTTCCACGATTTACATTGTTCGGACTGTTGTCTTTGCTGCCATATTCACAACGTTTCGGCCGTTGTACGCACAAGTCTTCTTCAGGTGATAGGATTTTCTCACCGAACCCTTTATTTCGTCCACCGGGGTAGATTGTTCTAATTCCAGAGTTGAGTTAAAAAGGGAGATAACTTATACTGAGACACCCGGAAGAGGCATAGCACGTTAAACGAGAGAAATCTACCCCGGTGGACGAAGTGAAGAGTTCGGTTCGAAATTCTTCTTTGAATTTTGTCCAGAAAAACAAAGGATCCAGGGATGAAAGCTCTTTAGATCTGATTTAGTCGTAATCTCCACACTTGGCCAATTGCTGAAGATATTTAACCCATAGTTGGGGGATTTGAATTAAGTGTTGTCCTACTACTAAGCTATAGAGCTCTGCCTGGCCTGTTACTTACCTGGGGGAGAAGAGATACCTTTCCCAAGGATATCTGAACGTAAGTGTATGTAACGAAATCAACTGGAATTCGAACACGGCTCTCCGATTCCTCTATCGGAGCCACTATCCATTACTCCTCTTTTATTGAGAACCAGACAAGATGCGGCAGTAATATTCAATGCACGGAAGAATGATAGGTAGATATATAAATATACAAGATAGATTCTGGTGAAAATAATTGTCTGGAAAGATATAGTGTACCAACTTTCCTTACAGCAAACATAATACAATATAATCTTTCCACTTCATGTCAGCTTAGAAAATGTTAACTCGAGAAGGCGCAAAATGCCACACTCCCGAGGTTATCAGCCTGAGTTAGGTGTACTCCACAGCTTACAAAATTACTCAAATTCTGTACTTTATAAATAATAATTTATTTACGTAAAGCATTTACGCAAGGGTGTGGAATTTTGTGCCTTCACGGGTAACATTTTCTGTTGAAATGAAGTGAAAAGATTATATTGTACTAATGGCAAAATAATCAAAAATGTTTAAGTAATAATAAAAAAAAAGATTTAAGCAGAAGCATCAGATCGTATGTGCCAAGAATATTCAAAGCATGACGTGCAGACTTATACATGAAAGTAAAAAAAAAACAAATTCTGATGAGAATGCATACACGTCTAGTAACTGATCTTAAGTGATGTGTTAGAAACCATTGTTGAAATGAAAGATGAATAATACGATCAGAATAAAGTTTGCAATGAAATGAAAAAAGGGTCAAAAAAGATGAAACAGCAACAATCACACAAGCAAGCAAACAATATAGTTAAAGCAAATCAAAATATATAAAAAGGCAAAAGAATTCACAAACCAGGAGTTGGTGTTTGTACACAAAAAAATGTTGGACCAAGCAAACACAGATCTAGACCTCGCCTCTTCACAAGGCAGGATGTGGCACAAGGCCGTTTTTTATGTGGAGCAAATCCGAAACCGTAGTTCCCTGTAGACCCCGCATACACCGTGTCGGGATTGTCTACCTCCCCAGACGTGACTGCCCTTCGGCATAGCCTCGTCTGGGTTCCTCTCTGCCTTTGGGCAAAGACTTCGACAAGTTATCCCGAACCGCCTGAAACAGCAGATCTGGATGGAGGTTATATACCTTAGCCTCCCCACAAGGTAAGGTGTGGCACAAAGCCGTTTGTTTTAATGTGGGGCAAAACGGAGATCGTAGTCTTGGGTAAAAATTCCCCGTAGAACCCGCATACATGGGGTCGGTTTTGTTTACCTCCCAAGACGTGTGACTCTGATCGTCGACATAACCACATCTAGGTTTTTCTCCTCCCGAAAGCAAAGAGTTCGACAAGTCAGCCTTAACCGCCTGTAACGGCAGATCTGGGCGGAGTCATGTCAAAACGCAAGCCGTCCCATTTTATTAGCTAAGAAAAATAGAGTATTAAGTCAGAACTCCTGGTTGATCACTCATACATAAAATAGTTACCTTTCAATATATATATATATATATATATATATATATATA